GCTGGTCACTAGGTTACTAGCTGGTTACTATAATGTTACTCACATCCAATGCCTGACACGGGATAATAAGAGGATGACTGAATAAAGCCTGGCACCTCTCTCTACTCCTGGTAACTAGGTTACTAGCTGGTTACTAGGTTACTAGCTGGTACTATAATGTTACTCACATCCAGTGCCTGACACGGGATAATAAGAGGATGACTGAATATAGCCTGGCATCTCTCTCTACTCCTGGTAACTAGGTTACTAGCTGGTCACTAGGTTACTAGCTGGTACTATAATGTTACTCACATCCAGTGCCTGACACGGGATAATAAGAGGATGACTGAATATAGCCTGGCATCTCTCTACTCCTGGTAACTAGGTTACTAGCTGGTCACTAGGTTACTAGCTGGTTACTATGTTACTAGCTGGTACTATAATGTTACTCACATCCAATGCCTGACACGGGATAATAAGAGGATGAGTGAATATAGCCTGGCACCTCTCCCTACTCCTGGTAACTAGGTCACTAGCTGGTCACTAGGTTACTAGCTGGTTACTAGGTTACTAGCTGGTACTATAATGTTACTCACATCCAATAGCCTGGCACCTCTCCCTACTCCTGGTAACTAGGTTACTAGCTGGTCACTAGGTTACTAGCTGGTTACTAGGTTACTAGCTGATACTATAATGTTACTCACATCCAATGCCTGACACGGGATGATAAGAGGATGACTGAATATAGCCTGGCATCTCTCCTTACTCCTGGTAACTAGGTTACTAGCTGGTCACTAGGTTACTAGCTGGTTACTAGGTTACTAGCTGGTACTATAATGTTACTCACATCCAATGCCTGACACGGGATAATAAGAGGATGACTGAATATAGTCTGGCATCTCTCCTTACTCCTGGTAACTAGGTTACTAGCTGGTCACTAGGTTACTAGCTGGTTACTAGGTTACTAGCTGGTACTATAATGTTACTCACATCCAATGACTGACACGGGATAATAAGAGGATGACTGAATATAGCCTGGCATCTCTCCTTACTCCTGGTAACTAGGTTACTAGCTGGTAACTAGGTTACTAGCTGGTACTATAATGTTACTCACATCCAATGCCTGACACGGGATGATAAGAGGATGACTGAATATAGCCTGGCATCTCTCCTTACTCCTGGCATCTCTCCTTACTCCTGGTAACTAGGTTACTAGCTGGTCACTAGGTTACTAGCTGGTTACTAGGTTACTAGCTGGTACTATAATGTTACTCACATCCAATGCCTGACACGGGATAATAAGAGGATGACTGAATATAGCCTGGCATCTCTCCTTACTCCTGGTAACTAGGTTACTAGCTGGTCACTAGGTTACTAGCTGGTTACTAGGTTATTAGCTGGTACTATAATGTTACTCACATCCAATGCCTGACACGGGATAATAAGAGGATGACTGAATATATCCTGGCATCTCTCCTTACTCCTGGTAACTAGGTTACTAGCTGGTAACTAGGTTACTAGCTGGTACTATAATGTTACTCACATCCAATGCCTGACACGGGATGATAAGAGGATGACTGAATATAGCCTGGCATCTTTCTTACTCCTGGCATCTCTCCTTACTCCTGGTAACTAGGTTACTAGCTGGTCACTAGGTTACTAGCTGGTTACTAGGTTACTAGCTGGTACTATAATGTTACTCACATCCAATGCCTGACACGGGATAATAAGAGGATGACTGAATATAGCCTGGCATCTCTCCTTACTCCTGGTAACTAGGTTACTAGCTGGTCACTAGGTTACTAGCTGGTTACTAGGTTACTAGCTGGTACTATAATGTTACTCACATCCAATGCCTGACACGGGATAATAAGAGGATGACTGAATATAGCCTGGCATCTCTCCTTACTCCTGGTAACTAGGTTACTAGCTGGTCACTAGGTTACTAGCTGGTTACTAGGTTACTAGCTGGTACTATAATGTTACTCACATCCAATGCCTGACACGGGATAATAAGAGGATGACTGAATATAGCCTGGCATCTCTCCTTACTCCTGGTAACTAGGTTACTAGCTGGTCACTAGGTTACTAGCTGGTTACTAGGTTACTAGCTGGTACTATAATGTTACCCACATCCAATGCCTGACACGGGATAATAAGAGGATGACTGAATATAGCCTGGCATCTCTCCTTACTCCTGGTAACTAGGTTACTAGCTGGTCACTAGGTTACTAGCTGGTACTATAATGTTACTCACATCCAATGCCTGACACGGGATAATAAGAGGATGACTGAATATAGCCTGGCATCTCTCCTTACTCCTAATAACTTCTTCCTCAGTGCACCTGCTCCGGGGAGATGACAGGGACCTCCATTCTGGACACACGCTATACCTGTGGAGAATGGAGAATACTATTAGAATTATGAGGAATCGTCATTGATTATTGATGAATGATGATGGTCGAGCGGATTGCGACAATCGTCTTAATAAAGTAATAAGTACGATAATTGCAATGAGTCAGATGATTTTGTGATAAAGTCTAAAAGCGCATCTACTTTAAACATTCCAGTCCGAACATCACTCACGGGTCTATTTTCCAGCTATCTCCAAAGTCGAATACCCCCAGCTGACTGGGACTATCAGTAGAAGGTAACCAGTAGTTCAGTGAGGAGATCATATCATTAGAGCTGTCACCATCAGCATCCCCACACAGACCACAGTACCGAGTCTTATCTTGCTCTGAGAGCTTTATCTGCGGAGGAAGTGAGGTGTTAGTAGCGAGTCTTATCTTGCTCTGAGAGTTTTATCTGCGGAGGAAGTGAGGTGTTAGTCTTATCTTGCTCTGAGAGCTTTATCTGCGGAGGAAGAGAGGTGTTAGTCTTATCTTGCTCTGAGAGCTTTATCTGCAGAGGAAGAGAGATGTTAGTCTTATCTTGCTCTGAGAGCTTTATCTGCAAAGGAAGTGAGGTGTTAGTAGCGAGTCTTATCTTGCTCTGAGAGCTTTATCTGCAGAGGAAGAGAGATGTTAGTCTTATCTTGCTCTGAGAGCTTTATCTGCAGAGGAAGAGAGATGTTAGTCTTATCTTGCTCTGAGAGCTTTATCTGCAGAGGAAGTGAGGTGTTAGTCTTATCTTGCTCTGAGAGCTTTATCTGCAGAGGCATAGAGATGTTAGTCTTATCTTGCTCTGAGAGCTTTATCTGCAGAGGAAGAGAGATGTTAGTCTTATCTTGCTCTGAGAGCTTTATCTGCAGAGGAAGTGAGATGTTAGTCTTATCTTGCTCTGAGAGCTTTATCTGCAGAGGCAGAGAGGTGTTAGTAGCGAGTTTTATCTTGCTCTGAGAGCTTTATCTGCAGAGGCAGAGAGGTGTTAGTCTTATCTTGCTCTGAGAGCTTTATCTGCAGAGGCAGAGAGGTGTTAGTAGCGAGTCTTATCTTGCTCTGAGAGCTTTATCTGCGGAGGAAGAGAGGTGTTAGTCTTATCTTGCTCTGAAAGCTTTATCTGCGGAGGATGTGAGGTGTTAGTAGCGAGTTTCATCTTGCTCTAATAGCTTTATCTGCAGAGGCAGAGAGGTGTTAGTCTTATCTTGCTCTGAGAGCTTTATCTGCAGAGGCAGAGAGGTGTTAATAGCGAGTCTTATCTTGCTCTGAGAGCTTTATCTGCAGAGGCAGAGATGTGTTAGTCTTATCTTGCTCTGAGAGCTTTATCTGCAGAGGCAGAGAGGTGTTAATAGCGAGTCTTATCTTGCTCTGAGAGCTTTATCTGCAGAGGCAGAGAGGTGTTAGTAGCGAGTCTTATCTTGCTCTGAGAGCTTTATCTCTGGAGGAAGAGAGATGTTAGTGTTGTGTTTCTAGCTTTTTGGTTTTGGGAAGTTACAAGTTGCATTCTGCTCTGATAGTTTGATCTCCGCTGTTATGATAATAATATTGCTAAAAGTAAAGACGATCATTTGAACGGGTGGAACTCCAAGCTGGAAATACCTGAACTCCGTAGAGACCATCCCAAATAATAGTTGCTCCGTTCTCCATGGTAACGTGAAGGTTTAGGTTCTCGTCCAAGTCAAAGTGGAAGTAAGGTACCTGTGTGAGTTATCATAGTTACCATAGTTACTAAAGTTATCATAGTTACTAAAGCTTTAGTTACTGTAGGTTTTTTAAACCTGTTTCCAGTATCATGGTGACTTCTTGTTACATTGCAGATAGCATTGCTCTCAATATTTAACAAATTTGGTTTGTTTGCTCTCTGAGAGCAAGCCATGTTTATTCTTTACTGGTCAAAATCCACAGCTCAAATCAACATTAGGAAAGTGGTAAGGTGACCAAAACAATCGAGTTTCACTTTTGTAAGGTAAAACCCTGATTTACCGCGGCCATCTCCTTCCCCCAAATAGGGCTGAAAATGCATAATGTCAACTATCAAACCCCGGTTAACTGCGGATGTTTCCTCTCCCCAAACGGTAAATAGTGGTTTTACTTTACCTCGTGCTGCTGTAGTAACTATAGTAACGCTGTAGTTTTACTATACCTCGTGCTGCTGTGTTTCAAAGAAGTCTATTTTAGTTCCCAGGTGGTTGATAGACCAGCCTCTCTGCAGCTCGATAGCACTGGATTCGTAAACTATAGTCACTGACTCTAGACAACTTCCTAGTGGGTAGAGAATTAGTAGTAAACATGGTTACTGTAGTTACCTAGTAACCATGGTTACTGTAGTGTTACTATAGTTACTGGTGAGTGGAGATGGTCAGTCTAGTAAGGTGAAATATAATTTTATTAACAATCTCCATGTCCTGTCTGAGACTACTTTTGGATAATTTGATCCTAAGTTTCATTTGTTGAATAGTCACAACAGATTATATTTTAACAGAAGGACTGGACAAATAACTGTAGGAGTATTAATAAGGGCCAATGAAGTATATTAATGCTTTTCAAACAAAGTTACAACGAATGCTTCATGAAGTGCATCCTGGGTTTCGACAGGATATGCCCGCTTAAAATATTTCCATCACGTTACATTACATAATTCTCAAATTATTTGTTATATAGTAGTGTTGAAAGTATTAAAAGTATATTTTACCTTGCATGCCGACCCCTGAGCAGTTCTCGAACTTCCCGTAAACACTCCAGGTAGCTAGCTCACAGTCCATGTTGAGAATATACGTGCACTCACCTGCATTAATAGTAGTTACACGATTGTATTGAAGAAAACAAATTGTGGAATAAGAGATATGATGTTTGGTTTTGAAACTGTTTTAAATGATGAAACTTAAGTTTATCATATTTTATGTTCATCAGCTCTGGGATGCAAGATGCTTCATTAAAAATCAATTATAACTCTAATTAACTAATTGTGTGTTTCTTAGGACTAAATAAACAGAGGTCAAATTCAATTCTTATCTAAGATAAGATCGTTCACAAACCGGGGAAATTAAAGTTGTTCCTATCAAAAGTCATGATGTGTGGGTCCCCGAAGACACGGCAGACTCTGCTCCTTATTTTCTGACTCTTGGTGGACAGGTTGTGCTCCGTCTCTACTTTAGCTACTCTTGACTTGATTGAGTGCCCTGGAATAGACATGGTTACTAAAGTATTACTATAGTTACTGTAGTTACTACCTGGAGGAGGTCGTGACTCGTGTTCAACTGGATTAAACATTTCTCGACGAAAAAAGGAGCTGAATAACATTTCTACAAGAGAAAATGGTACTGCATTTCCCAAGGAGAAGTATGAGAAGAAGTACCTCCTTCGCTGGTTGTCGCTGTAGTAACGGTATAGTAACTATAGTAACGCTGTAGTAACTATAGTAACGCTGTTATAGTAACCACGGTAACTCACCTCCTTCGCAGATAGAAGCGGTACAGTAGTACTCTCCAGCATCCTCCAGCACGGACTCCTCTACTTTGTACTGGGTCCCACTTCCCACTAGATCAGCTCCGCCTGTCTTCTGTAAAGTACATTAAAACATTTATAATCCTACACTAGTGGTAATCTTAACAATATTCGTCATGTTTAACAGCTTAAAAACGTTTAAATTGAAACTCCAAATGACTGATATACGAATTGTATCCCAACGGGGAGCGATTATACGTTGATTTCTACCAAACAATCTTCAAACTTATCTTAGACTATTGCTCTAAGTCTAAACTAATTTATCGTATTAACTTGTAGGTTTATAACGCGCGCCGAGTTGGACTCGTCGACGGTCTTGATATTTGAAACAAATATTTTACGAGTATCACCCGTTAAGTATTAACCAGCCCTGCAGGTACCTGGTTTAGTTTGAACCACTGGTAGGTGGCTACAGGGAAGGAGAGAGCGTGACACTCCAGGATTAGGTGGTGTCCTTCTTCTATCTCTACATCACTTGGCTCCACTGTGAACACCGGCTGAAACGGTATAGTAACTATAGTAACGCTGTAGTAACTATAGTAACGCTGTAGTAACTATAGTAACGCTGTAGTAACTATAGTAACGCTCCACTGTGAACACTGGCTGAAGTGTCAACTGTTTAGTAACACAAGTATTCTCTGTAGTTAACACTTTTAGGGACATTGCTGGTCATTGATGAGGGCAGGTAACGTGTATCGACATGGAGTGGTTAGTAACGGTATAGTAACTGTAGTAACTATAGTAACGCTGTAGTAACTATAGTAATGCTGTAGTAACCACGGTAACTCACCGGCATGACCCGAGGGCAGGGAGCGTGTATCATCATGGAATGGTTAGTTCCCAACTGACAGTTGTCTCGTGCCAACATACAATCGTTCTGGTAAGTTTTACAGTTGCTGCCACATACCATTTCTATAGGAGAATTTGTGAGATAACTAAAACAGGCTAAAATTAATATTTAATCAATCATCAGTCAAATTTATAGTTTTTATATTTTTATAGTTATTTAGGGTTGGAAGATCAGTGAAACGTGCCCTGACTCTGATTCCAGACCTAAATCATGTTCAGCCGAACAGCAATTGTAGGATTTGTAAATAAAGAATAACATAGCCTTATAATATGGTAGCGTTACCATCGTAACACTACCATATAAGGTGATATTATCATAGAGTTAAACAAAATATCGACTAACCGAGATTGTTCTCACACTCAGGACAGGAACAAACTGTTCTTTTAGTGAGGTAATCCGGTAAACATGTCTCGTGACCTTCACATTCCACCTGGTCATATAAATATATTTTGTTGATTATAATACAGGGTATCAAATAACGGAGTAGTTCGCTGTTTATTAGTCTCATGATTGAAATACTGATATCTGGATATTATCCGGTTGGAAGAGACAAGGACAAGTGAAACAAGGAAGTTAGGAGTAAGGGCAAATTTTCGGCGTCAACGCCATCTTCAGGCTCAAATTATTTGTTATATAGTAGTGTTGAAAGTATTAATACTTTCAACACTACTATATAACAAATAATTTGAGCCTGAAGATGGCGTTGACGCCGAAAATTTGCCCTTACTCCTAACTTCCTTGTTTCACTTGTCCTTGTCTCTTCCAACCGGATAATATCCAGATATCAGTATAATACAGGGTGTACCACAGAAAGTGTATATTGTTATGATTGCATGATTTATTGTAAATTTGTTGTATCTCAGTACATTATGTAATGGAATGGAAGTACTTTAACCAGGTCCACACCCTGGCTCCAAAATATGGAGGACTCAATTCTAAATCAAAAGCTCGAATACACGTAATACATAATATTAGTAACGATCACTAGAAATAAAATACTTCATCATTCGCGGTTTCGCATTTGCTGAATAAGTGATGATAAAATTGGTTGGAACCTACATCTTTGCAAAGGTCTGCGATATCCAGGTACATGAGGCTGCGGGCTCTTCCTCCGCCGTTAATAGCCATACACACGTACCATCCACCATCCACCTGAACAGCAATAAGTTACTATCATAACTACACTACTACTCTAGTTCTACTACTGCTCAGACACTCTAAAGTAACTATATAGTAACACTAAAGTAACCATAGTAACGCAAGAGTAACTATAGTAACCCCACCCCCTCGGTATTAACCATACCTGGTCCAAGTGATCTATGGTGAGGAAAGCAGTGATAGCGGTCCTGTCTTCCGACACCTTATCTTTATCTGATCTCCCCTTCTTTTCTCTTTGCAGCCAGCTTTTCTTAGGTTCCCGGGACAATTTGACTGCGAAAGTTCTGTTAGTAACTCTATAGCAACTATAGTAACTCTATAGTAACTTTTAGTAACTATAGTAACTCTATAATAACACTACAGTAACTATGGTAACGCATTAGTAACTATGGTAACACATTAATAACTATTGTAACGCATTAGTAACTATAGTAACGCATTAATAACTATGGTAACACATTAATAACTATAGTAACTCAAAGACTAACATAGTATTACTATTTATACGCTACACCACTTGTGTCCACTTTGTACAATAAATAACTTGGTAATTTTTTATTTTTATATGAAAACTATGGTAACGCATTAATAACTAATGGTAATACGCTTAATAAAAGTTTGGTAACATTAGTATATTCGCTCGCTTTATATATAGTTAGATAGTAACCAACCTACCTATACTGACGCCCATATTCTCAGTTGCTCTCAGCCTCACAAGAGAGAACTGTAGCTTGTCCCACGTAGGCGGATATGTTGTAGAGGGGTCTTGTGATGACGGGGGGAATTATATCCGGGTTCTGGAGGAGAGAGTTACCAATTAACATTAACAGGATATGACTACTTATTAAATTTCGGTCAATTTAAATAATTTTATCACCGGACTAAATTATATCATTGGATTAATTAAAACATGAAGTTGTTATTACTGTATTAAAAAATTCGATTGAACAATTCTTTGCTAAAATTGGGAAAAAACGCCCAAAAAGATGCAAACACGTTTTGGATTTTTAATGGTTTTGAATGCCTTCAATAGTTCGAGCGTTTAATTAAAGGTTCATTCACGCAATGTCCCGTCCAATAAGGTCCAATAAAGTACCTGTAGAGTCTGGGTGACAGGGGGCTGGGTGTAGTATAACCCATCTTGTTGGGGACTAGTAGGGTCTGGTAAGAGGGGACTGGTTGTAGCTACTGGTTCTCCCGAGTAACCCCACTGTACTGCTGAGCGGTACTCCAACTCTGTAAGAGGGAGAGATTAATTAAACAAATTAAAAGTAGTTAACTAATTATCAGTATATAAGAACTAATATTGTTATTGAAATTATGATGTTGTCCAACAGCAAATGAAAATTATTAACTTGATCGCAGAACTTCACAATACAATCGGTTACATTTAACTAACCCTCCAATAGTCGAAGGTCGAAAGCAGGCAGCCCACTGACGAAGTACTCATCTCCCAAACTGTCCAGGTTGATTAGTGACCGGACACTGTCGTCCGGGTTCTCTCCGGAAAACTGGTCCGAACCTGGGTAACCTGTCCGAGATATTTAGTTATAATTTGTAAGTTTATAAATCCGGAAATTTCAAATATTAAACTTTTTATCATTAATCTGGTAATTTTGTTTTTTTCTTTTCATTTCACCAATTCAAAATTCAAATGTTTCAAAATGATTGAACAAACAACCGAGATCAGAAAATAACCTTAAAAACAATTGAAAATAACCCTAAAACACAACTGTTTCAGTTTATGATGTGGTTACTGGTTAAGAGCCTGTTAGCCTGTTAATTGTCGGTTAAAGGCAATAAAAGCAACTGACCTCCGTCCATCATCCAGGGGTCGTACTCTCCGTCATAAGGCGGAGTAAAGAACTCGTAACCATGGTAACCACCAGGTTGGTCAGAGTCTCTGGAATGACTGGAGCCTGATCCGGAACCTTCTGCGTACCCCCGGTAGTTAACTGGTATCTGAGGAGGTATAAGTTGAAAATTATTTGTATTGGTACAATTAATAATGCCAATAGTTGTGCTATTCGTGCTGAATCCGCGAATTATTTGCATATCGCCGAATCATGATTTTGCGTATACAGAATGAGGACAATATACTAATATACGTATCGGTGCAATTTTGAGGCGTCAATAGTATGATTAAAACAGAAAAGTAGCTGCACGACACCTCGTATTAAAAATAAAACATAACCTTCCTTAATCACCTGACAATCGAGAAGAAGGTACATATCCTGTTGGCAGAATTCTAACAACCCTTCTATTTCAGGGGAGCAAGTTTTAGCGTTCTCACAGCTACCACACCAGAAGTCAGGACCCGCTGAAAGTATAAGGAGTTCGCTATGAGGCTATGGTAATTGGTAATTGGTAACGCTATCGCAATGCTATACTATAGACATAGTAATGCTATAGTAACGTTGTACTAGTAACGTTGAAGTGACGCTAAAGTAACGCTTTAATAACGCTGTAGTGACGCTATAGTAACTATGTATTAGTAACGTTAAAGTGTTACTCTGGAAAATAATTGGCAGTAAGTGTTGATAAAGATTATTTTAGGCAGATACAAATAACAAACTCTTCAAATTTCAATACACCTACCAGTTTGACATAATGTAGAAAGATGAACTTGCACTATCAGGGCTGACAGAACCAGAATTACACAAAGCATTCTTTAAATCTGGACGACCAGGGAGAATTTAAAAGTCTGATAAATCCTAGATGAATGCACAACTCGATGGAGCTTTATTTATAATAAGTTGATAATTAGTTGACTAGATATTGGCAGACGACACTACAGTGAAGTTTTGACTTTTAGTTATTTGTTTTAGGGAAATATTATTAGGCGTTGTTTTTTAACTATCCCTTGTTTAAAACTTTTAATTAATAAAGTTGATTAGAATTGTCATTAAAAACGAAATTGGAATGTAGTATGGTTTATGGCATGGTTAACATGCATTATTTCAAAGGGTGTGCACTAGCTATTATAAACGTAGAATTTGAAATTGAAAATCTTGTAAAGATTATGCGTACGAAAACAATTAATGCTTTAAAAAATGGCACAAAGCTGTCTGTAAATGAATTAATACCGAATAACTCCACAAGTGAAAATAAATTGATACTGAATTACACCACAACTGAAAATTACTTTATTTTAATAAATTACTCCAGACCATCGAGTTGGACAAAACTTCAATACCCAATGAACAGCTTGTAATAACAAAATCTGCACAGAGCCTGCACAACTGTCTGCATCTTAATCTAATTAGCTTCATTTGCACTTCTCGCTTGTTAGTGTTAATCAGCCAATTTTACAGGTGTTTTTCCACAGAATATGAAGCAAGAAATTGTCTTGATAAACTTTGTCTCGTGACAGTAGTAGCAGTGAGCACGTACGTGGAAAGAGTTGGCCGCGCATCTGGTAACTATGGTAACTATGGTCACTATCATGGTAACAAACATATTTATTGTGCGCGGCAAGCTTGCAGCATTAAAGCATTAAGGCACTAGCAGCGTAAGGCAAAATTTGATTTTCTTTAATTGATTCCAAATACCAATTCCAAGATATCAGCTATAACATGGTTCACATATTGTGTAAACGTAGTGTGTAGTGGCTATAAATTGGTGAACGACATGGTTCCTCAAATGTTTATCGTAGAATCGTTGCGGTAAAAGTTGTGCAGTTTACTCATACTGTAATTGACGATAGTTTGTACTTAATTGGGGATAACTTTCCCAATTAAATCAGTTGCATGTGGCCCTCCCGAGTCCCGATTTCACCCCTCCCCGATTTCTTTGTTTTTAGATTCCCTTTTTGTAACTTTGATACTGCTCGTATCGGTGGTAACGTTTTATAAGTATAGTTACCATGGTATTAACGAATAATTAGTCCCGAATAATTATATAGTCCCTGGTAAATGGTACTTAGTCCCGAATAATTATAGTCCCTGGTAAATGGTAATTAGTCCCGAATAATTATAGTCCCTGGTAAATGGTACTTAGTCCCGAATAATTATAGTCCTTGGTAACCGTAAATGGTACTTAGTCCCGAATAATTATAGTCCCTAGTAAATGGTACTTAGTCCCGAATAATTATAGTCCCTGGTAAATGGTACTTAGCCCCGAATAATTATAGTCCCTGGTAAATGGTACTTAGTCCCGAATAATTATAGTCCCTGGTAAATGGTAATTAGTCCCGAATAATTATAGTCCCTGGTAAATGATAATTAGTCCCGGTTCCCCCTGGAATGTACGCCACGTTGTTTTTATATAGTACTCAGAGCAACACTAACAGTCTTTATCAGACAGTGGCTCACACTCTGTTGATATCTCTTTAGGGAGTTTTCAGGTTTCTCAACCTTTCCTAGTTGAGTGTGTCCCACAACCAAGCACACTACCTAGAAGTCCGGCGTTATGTTTTATAATGATCCTGCACCTATAATAAGTTGCAAGCTGATCTATATATATTTTTTTAACAAAAAAAAACAGTCCTTCTGTGATGAGTTCCCCCACTTTCCTTTTAGAAACTGTGACACTCTTTAGAACTAGCTAGCTATTATAGAGTATCACTTTTTTACAAATTAAAAAAAAACCTTGCAATACTTTGCTACGGCTTATCGGATTTTATTTGAATGGAAATTATTATAATTGGACGCTGGAGGCCCTAGCGTTCATTAATTATTTTAATTTTCGTTCAAAATTATGTCAAAACGTCCGATAGGGTAGTTTGATAACTAAATCAGAGCAATGGCTCAATGGTGCGAAGATTTCAAATATTCTATTACAATAATTATTATTTAGAATCTTTTAATTTTAGTATCCCTGCACTACATTCACGTGTAATAAGTATAAACGTTACTTAGTAATGGTTACTTAGTAACGGTTACTTTACAGTAACAGTTACTTAGCACCTCTAGCAAGCCCGCCAGCCGGTCAGGTTCTCTGGATCTCTTGCCAATTTACAGCCTGCCTAGAACGAAAATATAAATATTTGTATTACGTTTAAAAGATTGTTGGTATAAAATTACAATGTTTCATTTTTAACATTATCATAGAGTAACCTATAAATAAAGTAAAAAATTGAATAAAGTCACGTCCGAAATGTAACCAAATTACATTAATATAGTCCATAAATGTAATAAAATAAAGTTTACATAACTGATGAAATAATCTGTTGAGTTGATTAAACATTTCTCTTTCAGTTTTTAACATAGCAATTCCCCAATAAGATAAAAACATTCTCGTTCGGATCTAATAATATTTATTATTTATTAATTATTTATTAATTATTTATTTATTATTTATTTATTATTTATTTATTATTTATTTATTATTTATTTATTATTTATTTATTATTTATTTATTATTTATTTATTATTTATTTATTATTTATTTATTATTTATTTATTATTTATTTATTATTTATTCATTATTTATTTATTATTTATTTATTATTTATTTATTATTTATTTATTATTTATTTATTATTTATTTATTATTTATTTATTATTATATTATTATTTATCATTATTATATAATCAGAGGTGAGCCTCTGAAATAATAAAGAAAGTTGTATATCTAGTAGCACATTTCAAGGTTCATGTCTTCGTCAAACCGACGGTAGGAATATTTATCTACCCGTCCTCCGTCACCTTCGATAAGCTCTCTTGATCTGAACAGCACGTATTTCTGAAAAAAAGGTGTGTATACATGAACAATGTTTGCGATAGCGGGGATAAATGTGAGAGCAGGACCGCTGAAGTATCATAATTTCCTTTTTAAAGCATTATATAATTAGAATTTAATAGGGTCAGACCGTTCATTTTTTATTAAGTAAAACAAAATTTAAGTAAAACAAAATTTTTTATTGTGCTCTGTTACTTATACAGGGTGCAGCTCAAAAGTAATTCTGACCACCCGCAACCCTTTAATAACTGTTGTACACTGTTATTAATATGATAACAAGCTAAACAAGGATTTTATCGAGAGCTTTACCTCAGGTGCTTGTTCGCTACCGGTGTAGAAATATCCTCGTAGGAATGCGTCAAAAGCTCCACTCACATGGACTGATTTTTCTCCTGGAAATAAAAAAAAATTGAATAGTGTACGATTTAATAACTTTACAATGTTGAAAAACAATTCATAATGTTCAATGTTCACTAGAAGGTTCTGACTGTCTTACTAAAAGGTTCTGACTGTCTTACTAGAAGGTTCTGACTGTCTTACTAGAAGGTTCTGACTGTCTTACTAGAAGGTTCTGACTGTCTTACTAGAAGGTTCTGACTGTCTTACTAGAAGGTTCTGACTGTCTTACTAGAAGGTTCTGACTGTCTTACTAGAAGGTTCTGACTGTCTTACTAGAAGGTTCTGACTGTCTTACTAGAAGGTTCTGACTGTCTTACTAGAAGGTTCTGACTGTCTTACTAGAAGGTTCTGACTGTCTTACTAGAAGGTTCTGACTGTCTTACTAGAAGGTTCTGACTGTCTTACTAGAAGGTTCTGACTGTCTTACTAGAAGGTTCTGACTGTCTTACTAGAAGGTTCTGACTGTCTTACTAGAAGGTTCTGACTGTCTTACTAGAAGGTTCTGACTGTCTTACTAGAAGGTTCTGACTGTCTTACTAGAAGGTTCTGACTGTCTTACTAGAAGGTTCTGACTGTCTTACTAGAAGGTTCTGACTGTCTTACTAGAAGGTTCTGACTGTCTTACTAGAAGGTTCTGACTGTCTTACTAGAAGGTTCTGACTGTCTTACTAGAAGGTTCTGACTGTCTTACTAGAAGGTTCTGACTGTCTTACTAGAAGGTTCTGACTGTCTTACTAGAAGGTTCTGACTGTCTTACTAGAAGGTTCTGACTGTCTTACTAGAAGGTTCTGACTGTCTTACTAGAAGGTTCTGACTGTCTTACTAGAAGGTTCTGACTGTCTTACTAGAAGGTTCTGACTGTCTTACTAGAAGGTTCTGACTGTCTTACTAGAAGGTTCTGACTGTCTTACTAGAAGGTTCTGACTGTCTTACTAGAAGGTTCTGACTGTCTTACTAGAAGGTTCTGACTGTCTTACTAGAAGGTTCTGACTGTCTTACTAGAAGGTTCTGACTGTCTTACTAGAAGGTTCTGACTGTCTTACTAGAAGGTTCTGACTGTCTTACTAGAAGGTTCTGACTGTCTTACTAGAAGGTTCTGACTGTCTTACTAGAAGGTTCTGACTGTCTTACTAGAAGGTTCTGACTGTCTTACTAGAAGGTTCTGACTGTCTTACTAGAAGGTTCTGACTGTCTTACTAGAAGGTTCTGACTGTCTTACTAGAAGGTTCTGACTGTCTTACTAGAAGGTTCTGACTGTCTTACTAGAAGGTTCTGACTGTCTTACTAGAAGGTTCTGACTGTCTTACTAGAAGGTTCTGACTGTCTTACTAGAAGGTTCTGACTGTCTTACTAGAAGGTTCTGACTGTCTTACTAGAAGGTTCTGACTGTCTTACTAGAAGGTTCTGACTGTCTTACTAGAAGGTTCTGACTGTCTTACTAGAAGGTTCTGACTGTCTTACTAGAAGGTTCTGACTGTCTTACTAGAAGGTTCTGACTGTCTTACTAGAAGGTTCTGACTGTCTTACTAGAAGGTTCTGACTGTCTTACTAGAAGGTTCTGACTGTCTTACTAGAAGGTTCTGACTGTCTTACTAGAAGGTTCTGACTGTCTTACTAGAAGGTTCTGACTGTCTTACTAGAAGGTTCTGACTGTCTTACTAGAAGGTTCTGACTGTCTTACTAGAAGGTTCTGACTGTCTTACTAGAAGGTTCTGACTGTCTTACTAGAAGGTTCTGACTGTCTTACTAGAAGGTTCTGACTGTCTTACTAGAAGGTTCTGACTGTCTTACTAGAAGGTTCTGACTGTCTTACTAGAAGGTTCTGACTGTCTTACTAGAAGGTTCTGACTGTCTTACTAGAAGGTTCTGACTGTCTTACTAGAAGGTTCTGACTGTCTTACTAGAAGGTTCTGACTGTCTTACTAGAAGGTTCTGACTGTCTTACTAGAAGGTTCTGACTGTCTTACTAGAAGGTTCTGACTGTCTTACTAGAAGGTTCTGACTGTCTTACTAGAAGGTTCTGACTGTCTTACTAGAAGGTTCTGACTGTCTTACTAGAAGGTTCTGACTGTCTTACTAGAAGGTTCTGACTGTCTTACTAGAAGGTTCTGACTGTCTTACTAGAAGGTTCTGACTGTCTTACTAGAAGGTTCTGACTGTCTTACTAGAAGGTTCTGACTGTCTTACTAGAAGGTTCTGACTGTCTTACTAGAAGGTTCTGACTGTCTTACTAGAAGGTTCTGACTGTCTTACTAGAAGGTTCTGACTGTCTTACTAGAAGGTTCTGACTGTCTTACTAGAAGGTTCTGACTGTCTTACTAGAAGGTTCTGACTGTCTTACTAGAAGGTTCTGACTGTCTTACTAGAAGGTTCTGACTGTCTTACTAGAAGGTTCTGACTGTCTTACTAGAAGGTTCTGACTGTCTTACTAGAAGGTTCTGACTGTCTTACTAGAAGGTTCTGACTGTCTTACTAGAAGGTTCTGACTGTCTTACTAGAAGGTTCTGACTGTCTTACTAGAAGGTTCTGACTGTCTTACTAGAAGGTTCTGACTGTCTTACTAGAAGGTTCTGACTGTCTTACTAGAAGGTTCTGACTGTCTTACTAGAAGGTTCTGACTGTCTTACTAGAAGGTTCTGACTGTCTTACTAGAAGGTTCTGACTGTCTTACTAGAAGGTTCTGACTGTCTTACTAGAAGGTTCTGACTGTCTTACTAGAAGGTTCTGACTGTCTTACTAGAAGGTTCTGACTGTCTTACTAGAAGGTTCTGACTGTCTTACTAGAAGGTTCTGACTGTCTTACTAGAAGGTTCTGACTGTCTTACTAGAAGGTTCTGACTGTCTTACTAGAAGGTTCTGACTGTCTTACTAGAAGGTTCTGACTGTCTTACTAGAAGGTTCTGACTGTCTTACTAGAAGGTTCTGACTGTCTTACTAGAAGGTTCTGACTGTCTTACTAGAAGGTTCTGACTGTCTTACTAGAAGGTTCTGACTGTCTTACTAGAAGGTTCTGACTGTCTTACTAGAAGGTTCTGACTGTCTTACTAGAAGGTTCTGACTGTCTTACTAGAAGGTTCTGACTGTCTTACTAGAAGGTTCTGACTGTCTTACTAGAAGGTTCTGACTGTCTTACTAGAAGGTTCTGACTGTCTTACTAGAAGGTTCTGACTGTCTTACTAGAAGGTTCTGACTGTCTTACTAGAAGGTTCTGACTGTCTTACTAGAAGGTTCTGACTGTCTTACTAGAAGGTTCTGACTGTCTTACTAGAAGGTTCTGACTGTCTTACTAGAAGGTTCTGACTGTCTTACTAGAAGGTTCTGACTGTCTTACTAGAAGGTTCTGACTGTCTTACTAGAAGGTTCTGACTGTCTTACTAGAAGGTTCTGACTGTCTTACTAGAAGGTTCTGACTGTCTTACTAGAAGGTTCTGACTGTCTTACTAGAAGGTTCTGACTGTCTTACTAGAAGGTTCTGACTGTCTTACTAGAAGGTTCTGACTGTCTTACTAGAAGGTTCTGACTGTCTTACTAGAAGGTTCTGACTGTCTTACTAGAAGGTTCTGACTGTCTTACTAGAAGGTTCTGACTGTCTTACTAGAAGGTTCTGACTGTCTTACTAGAAGGTTCTGACTGTCTTACTAGAAGGTTCTGACTGTCTTACTAGAAGGTTCTGACTGTCTTACTAGAAGGTTCTGACTGTCTTACTAGAAGGTTCTGACTGTCTTACTAGAAGGTTCTGACTGTCTTACTAGAAGGTTCTGACTGTCTTACTAGAAGGTTCTGACTGTCTTACTAGAAGGTTCTGACTGTCTTACTAGAAGGTTCTGACTGTCTTACTAGAAGGTTCTGACTGTCTTACTAGAAGGTTCTGACTGTCTTACTAGAAGGTTCTGACTGTCTTACTAGAAGGTTCTGACTGTCTTACTAGAAGGTTCTGACTGTCTTACTAGAAGGTTCTGACTGTCTTACTAGAAGGTTCTGACTGTCTTACTAGAAGGTTCTGACTGTCTTACTAGAAGGTTCTGACTGTCTTACTAGAAGGTTCTGACTGTCTTACTAGAAGGTTCTGACTGTCTTACTAGAAGGTTCTGACTGTCTTACTAGAAGGTTCTGACTGTCTTACTAGAAGGTTCTGACTGTCTTACTAGAAGGTTCTGACTGTCTTACTAGAAGGTTCTGACTGTCTTACTAGAAGGTTCTGACTGTCTTACTAGAAGGTTCTGACTGTCTTACTAGAAGGTCTGACTGTCTTACTAGAAGGTTCTGACTGTCTTACTAGAAGGTTCTGACTGTCTTACTAGAAGGTTCTGACTGTCTTACTAGAAGGTTCTGACTGTCTTACTAGAAGGTTCTGACTGTCTTACTAGAAGGTTCTGACTGTCTTACTAGAAGGTTCTGACTGTCTTACTAGAAGGTTCTGACTGTCTTACTAGAAGGTTCTGACTGTCTTACTAGAAGGTTCTGACTGTCTTACTAGAAGGTTCTGACTGTCTTACTAGAAGGTTCTGACTGTCTTACTAGAAGGTTCTGACTGTCTTACTAGAAGGTTCTGACTGTCTTACTAGAAGGTTCTGACTGTCTTACTAGAAGGTTCTGACTGTCTTACTAGAAGGTTCTGACTGTCTTACTAGAAGGTTCTGACTGTCTTACTAGAAGGTTCTGACTGTCTTACTAGAAGGTTCTGACTGTCTTACTAGAAGGTTCTGACTGTCTTACTAGAAGGTTCTGACTGTCTTACTAGAAGGTTCTGACTGTCTTACTAGAAGGTTCTGACTGTCTTACTAGAAGGTTCTGACTGTCTTACTAGAAGGTTCTGACTGTCTTACTAGAAGGTTCTGACTGTCTTACTAGAAGGTTCTGACTGTCTTACTAGAAGGTTCTGACTGTCTTACTAGAAGGTTCTGACTGTCTTACTAGAAGGTTCTGACTGTCTTACTAGAAGGTTCTGACTGTCTTACTAGAAGGTTCTGACTGTCTTACTAGAAGGTTCTGA